CTCGAGTAAAAACCAACCCAGAGCTGACCCTCCAGAGGATTTTCAGAGGCAGTTTACACAGGAGGAGATTGCCCATATTTTTCCCAAGAGCAGCTGGTGGCCTCAAACTGCGTGCCTTTGGGATTACATTATAGCTTTTTGCCACTAGGCCATCAGAGCTCCCTGTAAAAGACATGTTAACAAGCAAAGAGTCATCACAATGTGCTTCTGACTCAAGCCATGGCATTTTCAATAGCTTGATATACCTGTGAAAGCTAAAAAAATGAATAAAGAAGGCCATGGAATAATTTATGCCTTTTAATTATGTTGTTAGAAAAGAATTTTGAGTCTACTATGAGCTGGCAGAAGAATGAACAAATCTGTAATGAGTACAGCGAGAATATTCCTAAGAAGTGAATAAAGTGAGATTTCTCAAGTACTTTTGAGATGCTATTAGGAGAAGGACTTCATTATTGGTAAAATAGAGTCAGTTAAAAAGAGATGATGAGATGAATTGACTCAGTGGTTGCAACAATGAGCTCATACCTGGCAATGACTATGAGAATGGAGCTAGAATACGTAGTTTGGCTCTTTGTTAAATATGGTAGTTATCAACTTATTTGATGGCACCTAACAACAACTATAGTCTCTATATTGTTTGATTTAAGACATATTTAAACAGAATTTGTCAAATATAAATATAGCTGTTACCCATCTATTGTTCCTGCAGTTGGCCAATTAGACACTATTGCATGTGTAACTGTCTGGTAATGCAGTGGTTTTACTAAATTTCACAATGTTGGAATAATATTGCCAGTGTTTTGATTCTGGCTGGAATATAAAGAGAAGCCCAGGAAGGGAGCCTTGTGTTGGAACTCAGATATCACCAATAATTAGGCAGTGTGGAGGAGAAAAATGCCAAAACCTCCAAATAATTTTATTTTGAAATGCCCCATATGTAAATTCCTATGTCCTTTGGAAGTAATGGAGAATGCTTTGTTTCTAGAAGCATAAGGAATATTTACAAGGGAATTTTGTTAAGGTGACTAGTATTCTCTATAAAAACTTTAGAAGCACAGTGGTTACACTCTTGGCTAACTAACAGAAAGGTCATAGGTTTGAACCCACAAGTTGCAGTAGTCTCCTTCAGACAATATTTACAGCCTTGAAGAACTTAAGAGCAGTCGTATTCCATCCTATAAGGCCAATGTGAGTCAAAATAGATTCAAGAGACAATGACTTCAGTGATTTTATTTTATATAATATTCTCTACAAATAAACTAAACCCTGAAGTTCTGCTATGTCAGAGATTTGTTCATCTAAAATATATGTCAATTTAGCTATGTCGTGATTTCTAGTATTTTGTTATCATTGTCCATTTTGTGATCTGGTATAATTAATTATCCTTAATGTTATAAAATATTGTAAATCTGACCCTTATGAATTAATAAAATAGAACTTGGCTATATTAGTAAGAATTAGGTTATGTTTGTTGTTTGAGTGAGATGTGATTGGTTGGGATGTAGCTCCCTTCCTTAAGTCACAATCTTGATCAGATATAAGGGGTACAACCTGTATCACGTAAGAGATAACAAGAAAGTAGTATAAGGAGTGGTCGGACTAAAGCAAAAAAGAGCTGGGCTGGAGGGCCTCTTTAGGAGAAGATTCATGACAAGATACATGGAAATCTCCTAAGACTGTATACATTCTTTGGAATTGGAGACCCTGTACTGAGAACCTCTTAGATTCAGTGGGAATATTCATGCCAAGACAATGAATGTTTTCAAGGAATACTGTGTTCCTAGATAATGAAAGTATTCAAGAACCTACCTCCAGTGCTTAAAATAAAAAAAAGTCTTTTTCTAACTGCCTAGGAGAAGAAAAAAAATTATTTTAGAAAAGCTATCCACTTACTTCTGTTATCTAGAGCTGTTAGAAACTCTAGATAGATTTCACCTGAAGATACAACTTCTTTAGGAAAATGGATGGATTTTCTCTCTCTCTCTCTCTCTTTATATTAAATTTTATTAATTTTAATGAACATTTACAGAGATTTGGGGTTTTCATTCATTCATTGTTGCACTATTTTCTCTAACCCTCCTCCCCGGTTCGTTCTCCGCCCCCCCCCTTGAAAGTCTGTTTTAATTGTCCAGTTGCCACAGTGCTTGTCAAAGCCAGTTCTGATTAATCTCCTTTGTCAGTGTCTCCTTTGCCATTCCCTATCACTCCTCCCTGAGAGAGACTTCACCCTGATTCATAAGGAAAAGGGGACGGCATATTCTCTTAGCTACTTCCTGCTGGAAAGGGGTGCTGTAGGTTTCAGGGTGAAGATCTTCTCTCACTACTCTGAAGGGCCCCTTTGACAATAGGAAACACATAGACTATTATGGAGATTGATTTTGAAATTTAGATGCATTGTTATCAGTTGTGCTTAGCCGTGCATGTTCATATCCTTGAAGATGTAACATGGAAGTGTTGCAGCCTAAAAGACACAAATTTAACTAACAAGTTAAAAGTACATAAGTCAAAAATTGAAAAGCAATAATATTCCAGGTAGAGGCTCAAGTTACAGAGGGAAGGTAGTTCTTACAATAAAAGGCCTATTGACTAGCACTTTGTCTATTATAAAGGTTAGGAATCACAAGATGCAGAGTTTCAACGATGTCATTTATTGTTCTTAAGTCCTGGAGCAAATTCCATCTACCACTGGGTTGTTTTACAACTCGGAAGTCTACATGCAAGGCAGAGGTGAAGTAAGGAACTGCTTATGAGGTTTTCTGTTAATTCCAACAACTAAGAAATAGTGAGAAGAGTTAGGACCTCGGAAGGCTTTTAGGAACAGATAGTAGTCTCTTAAGGTGAACAGGGACATGTAGTCTTAAAAGTCTGATTTGAAATCTAGACTCAGCTAAGAATAGCAGGAACTTTTCACCTGTTGAATGTTCTTACTGAGTTTTTCTTTTTTATCATGTTGGTGCATCATTATACATCATCTCTAATTAAGAGATTATATTAACTAATTGTTTCTGTAGGCTATGTAGTCAAGGTAGATTTTGGCATTTTCATGGCAATGATGGACTCAAGCATGCCATTGATGGTGAGGCTGATGCAAGATTGGGCAAAATTTTATCTCATTGAATATAGGATTGCTGAGAATTAGAATCAACTCTTTTCTTCCTTTTTTATAAATTGTGATTTTAATGAAAGTTTACAGAAAACTTGGATTTTCATTCATTTATTGCTGCACATTTTCCTCCTTACCCACTCCCAATTTACTTTTAAAAAAAAATTCACTGATTCGTTGTTGCATAATTTCTCCCACCCCCACCCGCCAGCCCACTTTGCTATGCATCTCTTATTCTGGACTGTTGTCATGCAAATAATACCTAATCTTATATTTCTCTTAAACAGTTCTTTCCTGTAGTATCTACCTACTTTACCTACTGTCTGTCCATCTATCTTATCTATCTATCTATCTATCTATCTATCTATCTATCTATCTATCTATCATCTATTATCTATCTATCTATCTATCTATCTATCTATCTATCTATCTATCTATCTATATCTAGCTATCCATCTATCTTGCCTACCTATCTATCTATATAACTGCCTATCATTTACTTGGCAAAAAGAGACATTCTAGTGTTTTCCTTTGGCTTTCATTCTGTGTATTGTTGTTTTGTGCCATTGACTTGCCTGAAATTCATAGCAACTCTGTGCACAATAGCTCTGAATTCTGCTCTATACAGAGGCAGTCTCACTGTCTCTGATACTTCTCTCCCCATTACTCCAATTATTGTGTCCATCCATCTCGTCCAGGGTCTTCCTCTCCTGTACTGTCCCTCCACATGTCCAAGCATCATATCTTTCCTCAGGGTCTGGTCCCTCTTAGTTTTGTCCCCAAGTATGTGATATGGAACTTCAGAATCCTTGCCTCCAAGGAGCAGCCTCGTTTCACCTTTTTCTAGACAAACCTGTTTGTTTTCTTGGCAATCCATGGTATGTTCAATATCCTTCTCCAGTACCACAACTTAATGGCATTGATTCTTCCTCTATCAACCCCAGTCATTGTTCAACTCTTTGATGGATAGCAAGTAACTGTGAAGGCCATGGCCTGAATCAGGCACACCTTAGTATTCAGAATTACACTGTTACTCTTAAGCACTTTGGAGAAGTCCCTCACAGTCACTTTCTCTAGAATAATATGCCTTTTGATTTCTTGATTGCTGGTGCCAAGGATGTTGATTGTGTGTTCAAGCAAGCTGAATTGTTAACAACCTCAGTCTCTTCTCCATCTATCATGGTCCTGCCAGTTGGAAAAGTGGTGAGAATCTTTGTCTTCTTGATGATGAGCTTCAATTCATATTGAAGACTGCAGTCCTTGACCTTGTACAGCAAATGCTTCAGGTCCTCCCCAGTTTTGGCAAGCAAGGTTGTGTTATCTGTTTAATATAGGTTGTTGATAGAGTCTGCACCCAATCTTGATACCATATTCCTCCTCAAAAAGTCCAGCGTCCTGAAAATTCTTTGTACACCTACTGGGAAAATCTCAAATAATTTTTGCGGGTCTAAATCTCATCATGGACAGATTAGCTCATCAATGTGTGTAAACCATTTCAATCAGTAAAGCTGCTCAGGGCTTGTAATGCCGAACTGTTCGAGAAAAGACTTTCTCCTAAGCAGATTTGTCATGACTAGAAGCATTAGTGAAAGGGAGTGGGCATTAATAACCAAGAACATGGTTCACTTTTGCCTTGCACACAGTTTCAAATGCCCCATTAGCTAGGTAAAAGGACAAACACCGAACTAAAGCTAGGCTCCCATCTCTTGTGATTTCAGGGAAGAGAGAAGTGTGGAGGGTTTACTGCTTTACTGGTTTAGCAGAACTACTGGAAGTCTGTCTGTCAAACGGGGAGACTTTCTTGTCTTGGCTTGTTTAGGAGTGAGGACAAGAGCTGATGTTATTCACCCTGTTTAATTTATGTAGCTTCAGAAAGAAAGGTTGTCAGGGCCCCTCGATGAAGAAAGAGGAAGAAAAGTACGTGAGACTAGAGGCACGTCCAGACCTCCTCGGGCCCCCTGTCCCCCTGCTCAGGAGGTAGGAGGAGGGAAAACCACCCCAGATGAAAGCAAGTTCTTTGTTTCCACATTCCAGGCTTGCAAAGGATGTATTATGATATTCGTTTCAAAATATGGTTACATCTTGAAAGCATTTTTGTTAGAAAGGCATATTATCTTTAACAATGAAACAAGGGGAGAAAATTGGTGCCTAACAGTAGACTCTTAAAATACCTTAACAGATCCGACTTCATCTCTCTCTCTCTATGTATATATACACACACATACATATCTATATATATATATTTTTTTATATTCACATTCAAAAATCCTTGGCAGGAACAATAGGAACGGTTCAAAGTTCACTTCATAATCATAAGCAGATTTTTCCCCTACTCCCCCCATCCAACAACTTCAGTTTTTGTGAGTTACAGTTGGAAGAGCTGGAGAGAGAAGAGAAAGGGTCACATTTAAACATCCCATTTTCTCTCTTTTCTCAAGATGTGCTCTCATTTCATAACAGGTTAGTTGTAGTCAGAGTTAACGGCTTTGGTTTGAGTTCAGAATGATAATCTTAGAAAATATAAAGTAACGTTTTACAAGTGCAGCCTGTGAAATAAAGGAATAGTGTAGCTTAGTAAAAGCATATGTTGCTGGTGGAGACCTCACAACCACATTCAAATCATGCTCTTGCCAAATCACGTTATGTTTCTAAAGCTCCTTATTTAAATTTCCCAAGCGGGGTTCATATGGCAAGATCCGTGTTTTTGCAATACAGTATTAAAGGCAGCTCGTAGAAACTGTTCCCCTGAAGAACGAACTTTTTTCTTTTCTAAATAAAAGTCCAAATTAAACCTAGTTTACATTTACAGGATGCAGGACTCCTTGCCAGTGACAATAACAACAGGGGGGAAAAAATCTGTTCTTGGCATTGCTTAGGGCTCTGATAATGGTCCTCGGAGCCCAGCAGCAGAAGCGCACGCACTGTTAGCATGCCTGCTGACATTGGCGGGGTTACACAGGAGTTCTGTAGTTTCCCTCATTGTCAGCATCGGTGGGACCCTGAAACACCATCTAATCAAGTCCCAGTCTCCAAGAAAGACTGTGTTAAAGCCACTCCAGGTCTGTGTATTCTTTTCTTTGACAAATTAAGAACAGGAACTCAAAGACTCAAAAGTTCTACGACCTATTTTGGGAATGCGTTTCCAACGCTTTGCAAAACCTGGAGTCAGGAATTCATCCCAAAGCTGAATTTAAGTGCATCCAACTGCAGTTTCAGTCTGTTACCTTTTTGTCTTCTCACTAGTGTGTGTATAATATTTGCTCTCACACTTGCAGACTGCTTCTCTGGAGCCTTCTGTTTTCCTGCTACAAAGCCTGGCTCTTTGCAGTTCTTTTCAGGCTGCGCCATCATTGTTTATGACCCTGAGGGTTCGCTCTTGGCACGTCTGATTTCTTTACTTATTGCTTTAGTTTAATTATCATATCCATTACAACCATGAATGAAGCTCTTACTTCCTCCCCAGGATTTGATAGTGCAAACCCACTGAGACTTAACAGCAAGTCATCCTGGTGGTATAGTGAATTAAGTATTGCACTGCTAACGGAATGTTCAGTGATTCGAATCCACCAGTCTCTTCATGGAAGAAAGATAGGCTATCTCCTCCCTGAAAAATTAACAGCTTTGGAAACCCAATGGAGGGATGCCATTGTAATTGATTTAAGTCATTTGATGTCACTTGAGTCACTGATATGTGGTTTTCCCCCCTCCAATAAAGCTTGTGAGGAGCCCTGGTGGTGCAAGCTTTAAGTCACTCATCTGCTTGGAACTCACCAGACTACTTTGTTGAAGAGAAATGTGACAATCTGCCTCCAAAAAGATTGTTGTTAGGTGCCATTGAGTAGAGTACAACTCATAGCAACCCTATGACCAGCAGACCTGAATCCTGTCCTGTCCTGTGCCTTCTTCACTGTCTCTGATACACTTGAGCCCATTCCTGCAGTAACTGTGCCAATCTATCCTGATGGGGCTTTTCTTCTCTTTTGCCGACTCTCCACCTTTCCAAGCACAATAACCCTTTCCAAAAAAGAGCCTCTTCTACCAACATGTCCAGAGCATGAGAGCTGAATCTTCGCCATGTTTGCCTCCTAGGAGCTCTGGCATTTATCAGTCATCTCTGTTTGTTCTAGACATTCAGAACTCTTCTCAAAAATCATAACTCAAAGGCACCAATTCGTCCTCTGTTAGCTTTAGCAAGTGATTGAAAAGACCATGGTCTGAATTAGGTGAAGAGTTCAGTCTTTAAATCAACATCATTTATCTTCAGTATTTTGGAGAGATCATAGGTGGCAAACTTTCCCAATACAATATGTCTCCTTACTGTTGGTACTAAGGGTGTTGACGGTGGATCCACACAACATAAAATCATTGACGATTCCAATACTTTCTCCATCTATCGTGATTCTGCCAATTGGCCCAGTGTTTTCCTTGTGTTGCAATATAAATCCATATTGAAGGCTATGGCCCTTGAACTGCAGGTATGAGACTGGAGAGAAAATGATTGAATTTTGTACAATTTGTGATTTATGCATAGCAAATACTTTTTTAAAGAAACACAAAAGTTGACTCTACACATGGACCATAAAAATTATAGTCTTGGAAAACCTAAGGAGCGGTTCTACTCTGTCCTGTAGGGTCATTATGAGTTGGAATTGACTCCATGGAAATGGAGTTTTGCTTTAATCTTATTGTTAAACTTGTAGTTGTTATAAGCTAGATCTCTGAATGGCTTTTTAAAGCAAAGGGCACAGCCAAAGAGAAAGAGAGAAAGAAGGATGGGAGGAAGAGAGAGAGAGAGAGATAAGAGAAGAGAAGAGAAGAGAAGAGAAGAGAAGAGAAGAGGAGAGACGAG